GGGCATCTCCAGCACACTTCCAAATCCTCCATCTTTTCCATGGCCAAACTGTGATGTGTGGTTCCTTTTATATCCTAAGAATACTTCCCAAAATTCAAATGTTTCAAGCCCCACATCCATAATATCAAAACCTCCAACCCCATATACTCCCTCATTTTTACCAGTCCCCACCCCGCCTCCCCTCCAGTCTCTTAGAGAGCTCCTTCAGTAACCAGTTAAGCCCCAGGGAGAGGGGAGGTTCCAGGTTCCCTGACCCACCCTGAAGAAGGGTGGGGCTAAGCTGGGAGGACAAGCTAGAGAAGACCCCAAGAAGGAAGGAGATCGAGAATACCTGGAGGAGGAACGTGAAGCAGAGAGACATGGAAGAGAAGTGGTTCTTGATTCTTGGCCTTGGACGTGTACCAGGGACTTGGGGGACATGGAAGGAGACATCTGAAACAGACATGGGTGAGAGACCTGTGGGAGGCTGACAATGGCAGTCTTTATCTTGGTTTTCATTTCACCCTTTTGGTTCCAGACTTGCCCCTTTTTTATGGGTCCCCACCAGAAGGTGCCTTAGACTTGTGGCAAGCTTTTGGGCCTTAGTGGTCCTGCTTTGGGCCAATCTGTTTGGCTGAACATTTACCCCCAAGTTACTTGATTTTGTAACTATATTCTTTTTATGGCACAATAACTGTATTAAAATTATTTTCTCTAAAAGGTCTTATACACTAGAGAATGTTTTGTCTTGATTCAGCAAATGGCAGAACCCATTTAGAGCAGGCAGGTTTGGGGGTCCTGGTGCTACAGGACATGGAGAGGGATACCCCAGGACCCCCAAACCTGCCTGCTCTAAATAAGTTCTGCCATGTGCCACATCAAGACAAAACATGTAAGATCTCTAATGGAAAGGAACTTTAATATACTTAATGCATAATATAGACAAGACAAAGAACATAGCTTCCAAATCAAGCACCCAAAATTACCCATTCCCTGAGGTGTAAAACTCCACCTAAGATGGGAATGCAAACTAGTACAACCACTATGGAAAACTGTTTGGAGGTTCCTCAAACTGCTAAACATGGAGCTTCCCTATGACCCAGCAATCCCACTCCTAGGTATCTACCCAAAAGACACAAAAACACTGATTGAAAAAGATACTTGTACCCCCATGTTTATTGCTGCTTTATTTACAATTGGAAAAACATGGAAGCAGCCCAAATGCCCAAATGGATGACTAGATTAGAAAGATGTGGTACATATATACAATGGAATATTACTCAGCAACCAAAAAAGAGAAACACATGTCTTTTGCAGCAACTTGGATGGAGCTGGAAAAGATCATGCTGAGTGAGATAAGCCAGAAAGAGAAAGAAAAATACCAGATGGTTTCACTCATAGCAGGAGTATAATGGACCAGGCGAGAAAATAACAAAAATAATGAACAACCATATACCAGAGACATTCTGTGGGGGTGGAGTGGGGAATGGGACCAAAAACGGGGGGGGGGAAGGGAGGGAAATGCACGGGACTATGGTGGTGGCACAGGGGTGATTTGGTGATGGGAAACCCGTGGGGATTACAATTGAGATAAAAAAAAAATGTGCAAAATGATGTAAAAATAAACTTTTTAATAAAAAAAAAAAAAAACTCCACCTAAGAGATTGGCCCAAAGCAAGTCTTGAAAGTCCTTCCCATGTTTAAAGCACCTTCCAGCAGGGACTCAGAAAAGGGTCAGAAATGGCCAAGCAAGTCTGGGAAGCAAAGAGCAAAATCAAAATCAAGATAAAAGCTGCCATAGTCAACCTCCCCACCGTCTCTCACCCACATTTGTTGCACACAGTCCAGAGCCAATAAACAAAAGCCGCTTCTTCACAAGTCTCTCTGCTCCATGTGCATCCCTCAGGTCTCCTCCTGGCTCCTCATCCTGCTTCCTTCCGCTTCAGTCTCCTCTCCAGATTCTTCTTCCTGCTCAGCTCCACCCTTCTTTGTGTGGGGCAAGAAACCCAGAACCACCCCCTTTCCTGGGGACCACCCTGTTATACTGGGGTACCCCTCTGAGAAAAAGATTTTTATCAGGGAAACCTGGCTGTTGGAGACCGTGCCAGATGTCAAAGTCCAGCTCTGACAGGTGGCCAGTCAGGGGTTCTTTTTCCCAAAGGATGAGGCGGCGTCATGAGCGATGAGGCAGACACTCTAGCTGGTGCCAAGTATCTCCTACTGAACATCTTAGAGGGACTTTATTTATATGTTAAAGCATCCAGTGAGATTACATCAACAAAAGCATTGAAACAAAGCAAAAATAATTATTACATATTTTTCATAATCACTTGGAGATCCCCATGGCCTCATACTGGGAAGAAACTTGTTTGGTCATTTTAAGAAAAAACATAAGAAACAATCAAGGCATCTAAATGTACCTGGTTTCCCAGCATAATCAATCACCTGGGACATTTGGTAATGTTTAATTATCTTACTAACTCCCTAACATAGATTCTTATCCCTATATCCTATTGTTCTAAAAATCATGAATTCCTAAGAATATTACTAATATATTGTTTTCCTAGAAGTTTCTACTATTGCAATTTATCATTCTAATCTAACTCCTATAATCATTGTCTATCTTAGTCTGGTCTAAGCTAAGGGTATCTAACCTCTATGTTACCTGTGAAGTGCTTACCTTCAGAACACACCAGAAAATCTACGTATGCCGCAAGCACACCTCCCGGGTGAGATTCCAGTCACCCGCCACAGTTAGCTTAACTCAATTTTGTTTCCCATTGTCTTCAGAGCCACACCTGTTTTTTCTAGCCTCTTAAAATGTTAATTTCTGTTATGTATTATGCCAATTAATACTTTAACCAAGTTAGTTTAGACAGGCCAATCATATAATAGACTATTATTAACCAAGAACAAATGAGGAAGTTTCAGCAGGCGTTGCTATAGAGACTCCCATGGTGTCATCTTCTTTGGAGGTTTAGAAAACTCCTCATCTTCTTTGGAAGTCTCCCCAGTGCCCAGACCATGCCAAGAGACAGCATTGGTTGCGTGGCCTATGTCACCTGGTAACCATGCCCCCTGCCTGTCTCTCATGATCACATCCTCTAGCTGGTCATGGCTAACAACCATGGAGTCAGACGCAGGTCATACCAGCGTTTCCCTCTTTGAAATCTGGGGTGTCTTGGTTTCTACAAAGCCTTCTATACCTCTCCCGCCTTCTTTCCTGTGACCATATTTTCTCAATAAATTCCTCTTACTAGCAACTCTTTAAATGTTGGATTTCCTCAAAGTTCCATCATGGAGCACCTCAAAATCAATTAGCCGGAAACACTGTTTTCCCACCTCCAGACACATCTTTCCATCTTCATTTTTTGTTCTTGTTAATAGCAGCATGTTGTTATTGGGCAACCCCAATGTGAACGGGTTGGCCTGACTCTCGGTCCTCATCTGCATGCTTAAAAGGGACTTGTAATGAGACTCAACCACAGGTACACACATAAAAGGCAATAAAGGGTTTATTTACAAAAAAAGGGAAAGGAAGAAATGAATAACTCCAGGAGGAAAGAGAAAGAAATTGGCATATGCATCCTAATTCTGCTGATCTGGAACCCCAATAGCATGCTGTGTTGTGCCAGGTTTCAGTTTCCCAAAGACCACCAAGGAGCCGATTCCGATGCAAAGCACACGAGGGTCTTTATTGTAAGTTCAAGCCTGGGCTCCTAAAACGCAGCGACTCCTCTGCAGCAGCTGAAGTTGAGAGCCCTGAGCTCCGGGCAGGCAGGGCTTTTATTACAGAAGAGGGGAGCTTCAGCCCAGCAGAGGGGAGTTTTTGTTCAGCAGTACATTGATTGGTGGACATTAAACAAAGTTATCTTGTCTTACCCAGGTTGATCATGCATGTAAAACGTGACCTTCACTACTCGGCCCGCATACCTTAGGACATCTGGTGTTTTTCTGGTATGTACTGGTTACTTGCCTACTTGCTAATTGGCTATTGCTATGGGATGAGCAAGATTAGGACATTTACAGTTAAACTCGGCCTTGGTGCCTTGTTGATAACCGAAACTTAGGCCTGGCTGGTTCAGAAGCATTCTGAAGTCTGTCATGGCATCAGTTTGGTCTTTCAGCTGAAAGCCGCTAAAAAACAACAGGCCCCAAGACCCACATGTCTGGTTATATACCAAACCTGGCTGCTTAACTCCACCCTCAGTTCCCCAGTAATCCTCCCTTCAGTGGTGATGACATTATGGGATTTGTAGTCCTTGGTGTCTTTGATCTCTTTGGTCTGGGGATAGGTGGGGTCTATAAAAGCAATTTGTGGGGTTCATTCAGGACATCTTTGCCTCCAGCAATATGACCAAACTCCCCTTCTTTTTTGCCCCTGTATTCTCATCAAGCAGTCAGAAAACCTCATCGTGTTTTTCATCTTTATAAGTTCATTTTGGGTCTGATTTATATCTTCCATATCTCTACTTAGCTTTTTATTTTTATTTTTATTTATTTTTTTTTTAAAGATTTATTTATTTGTGCATACAGAACTGGGGTACAGGCCAGAGGCTCAGGG